CTTTTCATTTTGTATACCAGTTCAAGATTCTATTTCTAATAAAAATACCTACTCATTTGATTTAATTAAGTGACTGATTTTCTCCCTTGATTTACAGTGTGACTACCTACCCCTGGCATTGTGAAAATCCCTAACATGGGGGTTAGAAGTCACACTTTTCCTTTTTCTCAAAAATGTAATATTTCCTCAACGGATAATGTTAATGTCAAGAAGTATTAATTTATTTTGAAACTAGATTAGATATACTATCCATTGAGATATAAATTTCATTGATTTGCCAAGAATATGGGCACTTAAAAATTCAAAATCCAAAAATGTGACTTCCAAACCCGGTCTCCCGTACTAATGACAAGTTTAATATTTATAAATGTATTTATAATAATCCATAAATAGTATAAATATAAAATAAAATGCATGCATGCAAATGAAGCTACTCTCCTTTATAATGTTTTGTAATATTATAATGTTAAAAATTTTGAATATAGGGCTATTTGCGTCTGGTGAAGTCTCTAGGCTATGCCAAATGAGAAGTCTGCTTGGTGTTAGGCCTCGGCGTCGGCCGTTGGGAATTCTGTTACCAATAACCAGACAAATAAATCGTGATAATTTCTGATGAATCTGTGCAGATAGTGGATTTAAACAACTGGCGATGAACACCATGTACGGCTTGACAGATATTTGCAGTGATAAGTCGTGGAGAGTAGTGACATCACAAGAACAGTACTGGCTGACCGTAGTAAGAAAAGGTCCTATACATAGGTGATGTGCTAGCAACGCACGAATCTTGCCATGCCATGTTATTCTTGGGGTGTTTAGGCGTCCCCCAATATTAAGATCAAGTGCGCTAAAGCAATGTGATTTTCGTTGTTCACAAACATCACACGAACTCGTTCAACTACTATGCTCCATCTTGATCAATCCAACCAAACGATATATGAAATAAAAGTTACATGAGAGCAGAAGTGAGCATCTTTTTAATATTCGAGACTTGAATTTTAATCTGTCAGTCAACGTCTAGAGACTGACAAGCCGCACGTTCTTTTCTCGGCGGAGACGCAAATTCAATGTGCTTCAACCGCGGCGTACCTGAAATAAAATAGATGACTATAATTTGGAGCCTATGTTCTACGTCTGTAATAACATCTGCTGTCAGCGTCTCCGCCACTTGACAAAACCGCTGTCTTTGCCTTACGCGACGACATAGAAATTGGGAAATATGAGAGGATCCATTTTTCGGACTTTATTCCATTTCATGAAATAAATGATACAATTTCGTTTTAAATTAACGTTAAATTTATTATTGAAGTTACAAAATTTTGATAGAATTAAACGAATCGAATTAAAAAGTAATATAATGGCACATAAAAACAAAATTTACCTACCTGTATTAAAGTAAAAGGACATAAGTTTTCTGACTTGTTAGTACTTATGGTATGTACTAATGGACAAACTTAAAACTTGTGCAAAACAAAAGGGCTTGTTAGTGCACTTATTAACAAGAAAACTTCTAGTATGTATGGAGTTTACATCTCATAATGAAATCACAATTAATAGATTTCATCTGAATCAGCTAGCGAGTAATCACCTGTTTTCGAATAATCGATTATAAATCGAGTCATAATCCATTATGTCTAATGTACTCAAAAACCCTGTTTCAAGGCTTATTGTAATATTTTATCGGATCGAGTATGTTTCAGTAATATTAAGAGATATTTTCAAAAGTATAATTTTCGTGTACTTTCCTATACTATAAAAAAAGAAATACATTTTTATTTGTATGATATAAGATAAAAAAAACTTTGGAAAGCGTTAACCGCATGCTTATGCTGGCTGGCTCTAGTTTCGCCTCCACACTCACAAAGCCATACAATCACTATCACGTCTTATGCATTTTGAAAATTGCACTTAAAGCACATTTTATACACTTCATAAAATATACATTTTAGAATAAAAATGTAATAAGATCATTTGAAATAGTTTAGTAATATTTTATGTTTGTTAAAAATGTTCACGTGTTTCTTGTTACGAGCATGATCAAATTATTGTACCCTTCTGAAGTATGTTGAAGTCCTTACGTTACTTATTTTTCTATCTAAAATTCTTAAGAAATGGATATTACCAAGGTCCCCTTGCCAAGAGCGCCTTGAACGCCATGCTGTAGGTCCGACTCCTGTACGAAAAAGATAAATAATGGACTAAAATAAAAGAACATTTGAACTTGAATTTTTATTTTATATTAACCCCTATGAGATGCATTAATATATTTCTTTTTCCTTTTACACTCGTAAAGATTTAAAAGCACAGATTTCTCGGGAATGTAAATAACCGGAAACTTTGTATGATAGCGTTAGCAAATTCATGGGGGAACTATTACTGTAGCTGTTATCATTTACGACTTATGTTGATTTTTACCTTTTTTTTGGCAGCAATGAATGGAATTAAACCATCACCCCAAAATAAAATTATTATTCTCTTCTGCTTTTGTTTTAAAGTAAAAATTTCTTTATTCAACATGGGCTTTAAAAAGGGTTTATTGGATGAGTACGCTCAAGTGATGTGTACTTATCCTTAAGATAATTAATCATTGTGAGGGATTCATTAATTTTCACGCCCGACTTTATTTCCTCAAATGCTTGCGGTAAGGTATTAACTTTGTCATGCCAACGGTATTACATAATTACATGCTGTGATATAAATATAATTACATCATCATTATCAATTATCATCTAACTGTCTAAAGTAAATGGGAAATGAAACAGGAATTAATCTTATTTCCATTTATGTAATATCTTGTTGCTATTTAAAACGATATTTGAAATTATCATTTTATTATCAACGTTGCAGTAGTATACGTAAAGTTGAAGAATTAGCCTCAATAGTCAATGATTAATGTTAATTGTACATACAGTCGTAAAATTCATAATTGACATAAATCACGAATTTCTTTCCAGATTGAAATAAATATTGCCCTGCTAAAATATATAACTCATTAATCCAAATGATTTAGTCCTTGCATATAATATTCATTTGCATAACAGTAGTGTGTACACACACACACATGCGCACGAACGCACGCAAGCCCGCTCGCGTACACGCTCGCACGCAAGCTCGCACGCACGCACGCTCGCACACAAGCCCCACGCACGCACGCACGCACGCACACACACACGTACACACTGTGGTAGTGTCACGCAGCAGCTAGTGCTGTTGTACGAATGGGCAGTCTTTTCCGGTGAAATATCACGGGCTTACAGAAGACCGGCGTGAAGTGGATGAAACTATATAATATAATTTAACAAGCTACCTATATGTATTTACTTTATCTGAGATTGATACAATAGCTGTCCTGTAATTTTTATACATATGAAATGCTTATAAATTTTTGTACTAAATATATTTTATTTTTATGTTTAGAAACAGAAGTGTAAAATAAAAATAGTTTGCAAGTAAATTAGTAGTTTGTGGGAAAATCATAATGTCGTTAGTCATTAATTGAGGTTCTTGAAGTATAGACCACAGTTAAAAAGTTCCGTTTTTTAGTTTGTGGTCGTTAACGAGTTGCCTAGGTTTTCTTCACTCTGTTATTGAACTATTGAATGTAAATGCTCTAGGAATTCTTCATTTGTTAATAAGTTACTATTGTATAAGTGGACGTACAATTGCTTTGAAATGGAAGGGTTTGTAGGTTGGACCCTGGCTGCCGCTAACTTTATACCAATATACTTTTGTGCACTTATATAATTAAGAAAAAAAGATAAGACCACAAAGTTTATTGTCGCTCCTTCTCTGGACACGTCTAATTTAGTGAACCGATGGTAGTTTTTTAACTTTCAATAAGAGCCTAAAATAAATCTCATAAATAAAATATGACTTCGACTTTGAAAAGGCATTTGAACGTTATCCTTAATAAATTGTATTTATAAGTACCCTACACTATCTTTTATTGCAATCAACAAATAGAAAAGTACATATTATTATTCTTAACGATTCTTTACATGTTCGTTTACACACATTAGTATGCCAGCCCAAAGCAATGTTCTGAACAAATCTTGCTATTCGTTTGGTTCTAACTAGAAGCTCTACCATCCATCAGGAGGGATAAAGAACTGGACGGCTTAGTATAAAAATTAAGTAGATTATTAAAGCATTAATTCGGTGCTGGAGTACTTTATTTTTTGCTCTACAACATAGTCTTTAGTTTTGAAATACCATGCATATTTAATTCAGGTTTTTTTTTTTGCCAAATCCGTTCTTGCCATACGTTTAACACGTTAACTGCGTAATATAAAACAGTGACTTTCAGCTGGTGCGGTGGCAGTCCAAAACAGCCCCCACTTGACTTTCTTATTGTGCGTAGCGGGCCTTTTCGACCCGACAACTCTGAGGGGTATTAAAGCTCTATTATCAGCCAATCCATATAGAATATTTTATTTTTTTATGGTTTTCGAATTGTCATGAATTACTTGTCTAAACATTGTCCCCGCCCCTGGATCCTCCAAACAGAAAATGAGAAATTAGCAATCGAAAATGTCAGGTCCGACAAGGCCCGATACCGCACCTAAGTGGAATTTTTGTAGTGATGGGGTAGTGAAGAAAACAAAATATCGAGTTATTAAAATTATATTAAAATAGATACCTAGTTAAAATCTAATAAGCACTTACTTTTATACTCTGAAGCATATTTATTGGTCTCGGTTAACATTTTTTTCAATCAGTTTATCTGTTAAAAACAAAGAAAAATGCCATCAGGCGTGGTGTTTTCTATCGAAAAATTAATAGTGCTCTCATGTAAGGTGCATTCCTCTAAATTAAGAGTAAAATCAGTAATATCTTCCCATTCACTCTCTTCACCGTCATCTTGTGCATCTTTTTCGTCGTTGTTAGTTATTGCTGATAGCTCGGAGACAACTTCGCTGGGACAGTATTCATCACTATCGTTACTTTCAAAATCGGCCTCTTCTTCTTCATCACATAATTCTTGTTCATTTCCTCGTCAGTTACTTCTTCCCTCTGACCTCATCTTCCCTCTCAAATTCTTCTGCCCTTTCGGTCTCTTCCTCCCTCTCGGGGTCTTCCTCCCTCTCGGTCCTTTCCTCCCTTTCAGTCTCTTCCTCCATCTCGGGCTCTTTCTCCCTCACGGTCCCTTCTTCCCTCTCAGCCTCTTCCATCCTATCGGTCTCTTCCTCTCTATTGGTCTCTTCATCCCTTTCGATTTCTTCCTCTCTATTGGTCTCTTCGTCCCTTTCAATCTCTTCATCTCTGTCTGACTCTTGCTTCTTTTCTATTCCTTCTTCGTTTCCGGTCATTTTCTCTTTTTCTGTTTCTATTTCCTTTTTTTTCTTCTTTTTTTTTTTTTTGCTCGTTTCTTAGTTTAATATCGATAGAATTCTGAGATAAGTCGTCTTCAAAAGAATAGGTGAATGTTAAATGATTTCCAGCGTTATGATTTTGTAATACCGGTCCTTGCATATTTTCGCGTTTGTGTTTTAAATTTATGGATTTCGTATCCTCTTGTTTATTTTACGAAACTGTCGAGAGCGAGCACGTCCTCCTCCCGTGACTGCACAACACTACTGACGGCTCAACGCGTACGCATCTGCACAGTGCGGCAACAGGTCGCCGTCGGTCGTCCACCGAAATAGGCCCGCTCCCGCACTGAGATAACTTTTTTTAAGTCCTATGCGGCGGAGGTCGAAAATGGCCCGACACGTAGGTAAACTGCCTATATTTTTACATTTTACGTCACAAATCGAAAACTATATTTGTCTCTGTCATACTCCTAAAAATGCCCTTAAAACCTGTTCCGCACAAGCGAGAAAGACCAGTTTTGTTCGCGCGCACATTAATTTAACACAGCGTCGGGCCGATTGTGGGTGAACCGCAGTGAACGTGTTAAGGAGTTAAAAGTTGTGCAAAGAATATTCATGAATACCAGTAGAGGACTGTGAAGTATGCAACTGACGGGCAGAAAATTATAAATAAATTTGAATATATTTTTATTTTTATAATAAAAATATCACCTAAAATCATTCTTCGGTCTACCAAATAACTTATTTAAAGCCTTATTTTTTTTTAAATCTGATTTTAAGAGAATGCAAAATAATAGTGACTCCGTGGTGCAGTGGCCAAGGAGTTGGCTTCGGCGTCGGGAGTCGTGGGTTCGATTCCCACACGGGACAACTATTTGTGTGACCCTCAGATAGTTGTTTCGCATCTGGGTGTTTATCCGCGTGAAATTTATGTTTGTAAAAAAAAACGTCCTGTAAGGATGTTGTAAACACAGGATAAAGTTATCCTAAAGTAAGGGCATATGTTTTTATTGAAACAAGTAACAAGTAATTTTTGTGATAGGTTACGCTTTGTCTCATATTGTACAGATTTCATAACATCAGAAATTAAAATTGTTCCAGTAGCGTAATAATTTAATTATCTTGAAATTCATAATTTTATTTGTAACTAAAGAATATATTTTTTAAAATTAAATATGTGCATGTAAAGAGCTGTAGCCATAACTAAAGCGACTAATACTAACACTTTGACTTTTCTACCACTACTTTGACTCTAGTTCATGTGAGCACCAAAATTTCGTTTATTTGGGTTAAGACTCCGTTCGTATTGTACTCAATACGTGTCACACGAAAACTCACGTGAAAATTCGATTCACCATTGCTTCTGAATTATCTATTGCGACTCTTTCACTGATCTTATGTTAAGACATGTTAAGATCTACACGAAGATTTGGTAAATATCGCATTTGTTACAATAAGTTTTAATTCAATACTCGAAAGATAAATATTTTAATAATTTATTGTCCTGTTATTGTATAAAATTTTTTCAGATTGAAATAAATATTTATAATAAATATTATTACTATTTTCATTTGAGTATGTCATTCAAACAAAATTCCCAGTTTTGTTTAAAAACAAAAGTGAACTTGGTTACTAATTTATCCATATAAAACCTATCAGCCGACAGTAAGCGTTACATACCATTGAAAGAAGAACATTAACAAATGTAAGTCTGACAAGTAAAAATTTATCTTAAAAAAATCTATCTTCGTCAGCGGCTTGTAGAATGTATTAATTGAAGCCTGCATTAAGATATAAGGAACATATAGTCTGCAGTTTGTGAGCACACCTTAAATCGGCTTAACCACTACATCAGGTTTGATAGACCACAGATCCTTTGCAAAAGAACACCGATTCCTCCCAAGGATAATTCGCGAGGTTATTGAAACTAAAAAACACCCCAATTTCAATTGAGAAAAGGGTTGGGTGCTACCATCAGCTTGGGGTCCTATCATAAAAAAAGCACCCTCTGCATAGATCGGACGAAAAAATAATAATTGAAAAAACTGACGGTAGCCCGGGTTAATTATCACAATCAGACGTCAAACGCCTCAGTCTGTCCCGTAACCATGAACGCTGTAAAGGTTTCGAAATGTCGGAAAACTTAAAATTAAAAATAAACGCGATAAATCCGTAAAAATTAGTTTCATTTATAATGTGTAATTCCGTAAATACAAGAAATTATAAGTAAAAATTTAGTTTATCTTCACTTCATGACTGAGATACGAGTATGTGATAACTATCTCTTTTTAATTTTAGATAAAAATATCGATGAATTTGTTCCACATGTAATTGTGTGATTGTGTTATGATAATATTTATATCAGCGGTTTAAATCAGTTGAAGTAAGACGTGGCAAATGAAATATTTTAAATACAATGTACTTAATTTGTTCGTAGCTTATGTTGAGCTTCAACGCAAATCTGAATGATGAAAGGGCGTGTATGTATTTAAAATGATATAGAAATTATTTAATACTAAATTATTAAATAGAATCATTCAGGATGGCCAAGAATCGCTATTTTTTAGCCAAGTTCGTGAGCGTATTATAACATATTTTTTGCGGCGTAATTTACTGACATATTCGAATGATATTTTTCATTCCCTGAAAACGGGGATAAAAGGACATTTCCTAATATGAAACCTAGCTAGATCGATTTTTCGCCCCCGAATCTACGCACATACTAAATTTCATGAAAATCGTTGGAGCCGTTTCCGAGATTCCGATTATATATACCTATATATAATTATGTATACAAGAATTCCTCATTTAAAGGATAAGATAAATAAATAAATCAAGATCACTCTATAAAACAATAACAATGTTTTTTTTATAAATCTTTTATTCATAACAAATATTTTTTGTTACAAAACTGAATTGCCTTATATAAAAGGAATACAATTATTGCTTGTAGTAATTAAAAAATGAAAAATATATCTCAACATGTAACATCAGCGTGAAGAAAAACTTTTTGCTGAAAACAATTTATGTAATTCTTATGCTTCTTCGCGTTGTAAAAAGTTCCTAATTGTAAATCACTGCTACGATTTTTAATAAACTTGAACTCTTACCAAACCTCAAGCGTAATTATTATGAAAATAATTCAACTCCAAAATAATATAAAGGTATACTCTCGTAACAAATGGTAACATCGTGTATATAACTGCATCATATGTAAATGGCATAACGTCTGCAATTTCATAGACTCGCTTTCAGGCTTTTAGCATATCAGCTTATCGACTCGGAGTACTCCGACTAGCACTGAAGCAAGATGAATGTTGAGCTTTAATACGAGCTCTAAATTAAAACTAATGCTCAAAAATTCTTCATTGACGAGTCCCCAATATCTAACTTTAAAACAAAGTTTTTTAAACAAAACGTAGCTCAATATTGAATACTACAATCGTCTTTAATTGAAAAATGATTTAACAAAAAAGAATATGCATTCAATTTATTCCTATTTCTCTCAATTCACTGTTGATTTGTCACTGTTTGATTCGGATTGTAGTATTACCACTGTATGTGAGACTGTTGAAAACCTGCTAAATACGATAAGAGCAAGATTTAAAAACTATATGTAGAAAAGTCAGTACATACTTGAAACAAACAAATTTAAAAAAATATTTCGATGAAATGTGATGTCTCGTATCCGCATTCGAGTCGCGTGATGGACAAAATACCATCAAGCCATATCCGTGCAGCGTGAAGTTTTGAAATAAACAAAATAGGAAAAAAATGCAGCATTTTTAATTTGTATACACTTCAAGTGCCAAACCCTGTATAATGCATCGTAACTCATATAAAATTAACAGTTTTCTCATCTATCACTGCATGTAATAAGTAATAAATCAATCGCTCAAACGTTTTGCCAAGGGAAATATTTTAAGCTAAATAAAAATAATGAACAGAAAAGTTGGCTAAAATAACGGAACATAGTCTCTGGAGTTTAAAAGTCTTTCAAAACGAATTAAGTGTTTTTCTTTTTTAACGAATTAATGGGTTCCATCGAATGCCAAAATATATAGTGAGGAACGTAGATTATTACGAACAACAAAAAAACATTAAATATGACCCACGTATAACTGAAGAGATATCATCTGTTTGAATCTTTTGAAAGCTGTTGCGTGCTCATACCACAGTAAAATACACAGTTTTTTTTAGTTATGATAATGGAAAGCGGCGTATTTAGAAAAACGAGAGTCAACTATACTATACTATTTAATATTTTGGTCTTATGTTTTTGGTAGTAATTACAGCATAGCTACTCGTATAAAACGTGTTTATAACATAAGTGGTAAATAATCATGTATTCATAAAAAAAAAACTGATATCTGAACTTGATATCTACATTCATTCCTTCTTGAAACCGATTTTAGTAAGCAGTGTTTAATACTACTATACAGATTTGTGTTGTAGAACGGTCACTACTAAAAATACATCTTTACTCGATATTGGTTTACTTGGCATTCGCTTAAACTACTGCACAATCTAAACACACACACACACAAGCACACACCACTTCCCTATTTTACCATTTAAATATTTATTAACAGCCCGCAAATCGAACTATAGATCGTAATATTTATCCCCCATACGACAGGCAACAGCCTAGTGTGGGGGTCAGTTCATAAGGCATAAATGTAGAATTTTTTTTTTGGAAATAAAGTAATTTGTAATTTGTAAAGTAATTTGTAAAATGCGTAAACAATGGTGAATGGTGGCAACTAATGTGTTCAGTAAAGGTATAGTGACATAAGGTTAAGAAATTAATTCTTAAAATTTTTACTGTCTCAAGATGACTTACAACGTTAGGTACTGATGCGTTTTTTACTTCCTTTTTTAACTTTGATAGCCTTTATTAGTGTCGACGTTGCATTGAAAAAAGTTATGTTTTTTGCAATATGGATAAATAAATAAGTAATTCAAAAAGAAGTTACAACGTATATAGTTTAGGTCAA